TTCCCTTATTCCCTCCTAAGAACCTGTAAGCAAAGCCGCTGCAGTGTTGCTATGAAGTCCTTCCATCCCCCCACTGGCGGATGCCTCAGTCTCGGGGCAGCACACAGCTTCAGGACGTGCGCCAGTTGGTAGACTGAGCTACCCTACACTCTAAATCCTGGCTGAGCGCCGCAGCATGGGTCATTTGGGGTAAAGATCTCTGAAGCGTCTGACACTCGAAAGTCAAGGCCTCTGCGCCAGTTAGGGATTCTTATTCACATTAGTATTATTGTTGCTATTATTCGTATTATTCAATTATTGCTAATATTATTCATCACCATTACCATTATTATTCATATCATTATGACTACTACTGTTCTGACTAGTCTTATCCATATTATCATTACTATTGTTATTGCTGTTGTTAAGGCATTAGTACTATTGCTTTGTTATGCTCAGTCTGATTCAAGTGCCTGGATGGCGGTGTCCATGCGGGTCTCTAGCCTCAAGAACATGAATTCAGACTAGACAAACCCTAAACCCTAAACCCTAGAGACAAACCCTCAAGTGCAACGCAGAGCAAGACCTCGTACAGCTGACAGCTTGAGCAAGAGGCATCTCCATATGCTGCTGCTGCTCGAGGTGCTGCGCTTGAGAGTCATTAATGCTTTGGCCTCAGGATAACAGCAAAAGAAATGTCCGCTTTTGAGATGAATATTAGGATCCCTATTATAATCCCTACATAATCCCAAATAATCCCTATATATTCCCTAGTTTCCATTTCATTTTTCCATGTTCTTTTCCATTTGATTCTCCCTTGTTGTGGTTATAACCCCGATTGTGGCCTAAAGCTGACACATTTCAACAAAATTGCGGCTTTGCGGCGTACGCGCCGCTGCTCTGCCTCAGTACATAACACATTTTCAGGGAAAACACCCTAATTTACAATAGTAGTTTCCATATTCTTTTCCATTATCCCCTATATAATCCCTATAGAACCCCATACCCCCATATAACCCCTATATAACCGTTGGCTGCGCCTGCTGAACTCAGGCGTCTGCCCGGCAGTTTTCTTTGAGCTCGGTGGCCTGCCTCGCCTGTATGTTCTTGTGGGTTTTGGGTTGTTGTTGTTGTTGTTGTTGTTGTTGTTGTTCTTGTTAAGCGCTTCTTTTCCGCCAGGCGGCAAAGATCTTAGCAGATCGAGCGAAGCTACACAGGCTGAGGGTTTAGGGTTAGTACATTTTGTATATGCAGGACTGATACAAACACGTGACACCAGTCATGCGGGCAAAGGTGCCAAGCCGCAGAACCAACATGTCCCTATCCTTTTAAAGCCTCGTATTCTCTGTCTCCAAATCTGGCTGGAGCATTTTCCAACAAGACTTCACAGCAAGTTCTGATTTTACGTGTCTTCAATCGCACGAGGAAGAGGGGCCATCAAAACAGTATGGACCAGTATGGATGGAATCGTTGGCTTGAAGATGTTCTGCGACTGTACTATGGACAATGTCTCAGCCTGTTGTGCTCGACACGGTTATGTGTGCAGCTGACGTGCAATTGGTCTTTCGATATGCAGCTTCAACGCAATCCTTGACCAAGAGAGCTACTGTAACAGACCCCAAATGAGAACCCCCAAATAACAGCGCTCACTACAACCAACAGGAACATGCAGAAACCATTCTATACCCCCTAATAAGCCCATTATAACCCTATTGTAACCCTGTATAAGTAGGTAACTTGCCCAACCACCTTTTTGGCATCTGGTCTCCTTGATGCCAGGCACAGGACTGCTTCGCAGACCAAGACCCAACCACCCCAAATCCTAGAATCCAAACCCTAAATAACCCCAGGGTCCCACAAGTTGGAAATGAATGTCTGTGGTATCTGGAAGGAGCATCTCAATGCCCGCTGGCCTGTTCCGAACGAAGCTGCTGGACGCCTTGGCCCAACCTCAAGATTCTTTCTTGTTTAGGGTTTAGGGCCAGGGCTTAGGGTTGATGATGAAGGTCCTTCCTGTTGCGGGAACACCTTCTTCTCAAGACCCTTCCTGACTCATGCTTCAGTGCTAGAGGGTCATGAGGTCCTATCGTGTTTGGGGCTATTGGCGCGATGTCTACATCTCACGCATTCCTTCTTTCAGTCCCTGATAAGACGTATCCAAGGGCTGACCCTTCAAGAAATCTCATTAAAAAAAACCCAGACCTCAAAACTTGGAGTATCACACGCCCAGGACCTCCTCGTGACCTGCAGACCGCCGCTCGGCCTGCTGGCAAAGGCAAAAGTCACACCCAAAACCTCCCCACACCGGATCCTCATCTCGGTTACTAATGCTACTTTGCATGTCATGTCCTTTTCCATTGGATTCTCCATGATTCTTATAACCCCTATATACCTCCATATACACCAACATAACCCAACACACGCTATATTGGGTTATGTTATATACCCCAATATAACCCTGTGCAGCCGCAATGTAATTCAAAGCCAACTCAGCCAAAACATGTGCTAAGATCTTAGGGCATTGGGGCTTGCAAAAAATTAAGGGTATCATTTTGGGGTCCCAGCAATCAGGACTGCAGCATTTGCGTGGTCCCCTCGTTGAGGGACACTGCCGCATGGGATTTGGGTCTTCAGGCTGAGGTGGGAGCTGTCGGGATTTCGAGATGACAAGCATATGAAATCTAACTTCCCTACCATGAAACACCGAAACCTCCCGCTCCCCTCAGCTTTACAAGACCTTCAAATCTATGTTTAGGCCGCATCAAAGGGTGAATCGGGGAGTGCTCAACATGAGGGAAGGGATTGAAATGATTTTGTGCAAGGGGATTCTTCACTCTGGTGGCCATCGCCCACTCACAAAGTTCAAGTGCCATGGCGCGTTCCTGTGGAAGATGCAACACATCCCATCGCGACACCCAGCACAAGGCCATGAAGGCTGACTTTCAGGGCATGCCATTTTTCCAGATCCTGGGCGGGGCTCCTGCACCGAGCTCTGTTGGGTCGCCTATGCGCGCGTGCCACATTGCCACGGTGCGGAAGTGTCCATTTGCAAGACTGGCCTGGAGCCACGTGGGTGGCAGCCAAGGGCCTGTTTTGTGCCTGCGATACCATGGCGAATCCGTATATTCCCCCAGTTTCCATTTCATTAATCCATGTTCTTTTCCATCTGATTCTGTATTATAGGGGGAAAATGTAACCCTAAACCCCAAACCCTGCCAAGTTCTCTCTGCACGTGCCGCATCGTTGGCATCACAGGCCTTGGCCATCTGCCTCTGAAGCTCCTTTCTTAGAAAGGGTCAGAACCAGGTAGGCATACGGACAAACACGAGTGATATTCATAATGGCCGCCATGGGGATATGGGTTATAATCGAACAACAACCTAACAGAAGTAGCAACTATGGAGGGGTAAGCAGGTTCTCCCTGCCTAGGGTCTTCAAGGCCAATCACAACAACCTTGGTTGACTTTCGGAGGCAACCTCCCATCAGCCTGTCACGGGAAAGGGTCAGGGCACCATGAGCCCTGAGCCTTGGACCCGAGAGTGAGCTGTGTCTGCAGCTGAAAAGAGTAGCAAAAATGGTATCACTGCATGATAACGAATTGTAACGGGCTTGTTCACGCGATGAGAGAACCTTACACACAACTTGTATGCTGCTCTCGCAAACAAACGTCAGGGTGATCTTATGATCGCCCTGTGGATTCAGTGAAACCTTTGGCCCAGCCGTTGGTCAGTCATGTGACTGCGCAGCAACCAGAAAGCTAACTTAGTCTTCTTCAGACGTCATGTCGAGTTCGAGCTTTTGCGCTGTCATTTTGCTGTTGATGCCACTGTGGCTACTACTGCTACTACCGTTGCCACGTCTTCCTGGCTTTTACTGCTATATGATCTGGCTAAAGACTGCAGCAAGATAGTGTTGGCTGTGTCTAGAAGTCCGTCGGATCATCAGCTCCGTCAGGGCAACCCGGAAGCCGCCTGCATGCGATGACAGAAGAGACATTCTACAGAAGACCTTATAGTGATTTCTCAACACTTCTAAGAAGCTGAACAATTTTGTGTGGCATTATATTAGATTTTGTACCTGGACATCTTGTGGAGGATCATCACACGGCGCTACAAAGTTCTCTGGAGTTCTCTGGCATGCAACAAACACTGATGTCCACGTTTTTAAGATGCTATGATTTAGTGTTTGGTAGCATAGTTCTAGTGCCCAAACAAGTGGGAGCTGCGAACCATTTAGGCAACCCTATCCCCCCGCTTGAACCGCATCAAAATCATGTCTCGCATGCGGCGTAGGAATGGGACAAGCTCATGCGAAAGCCCTTCCCTGGACCCTAAACTTTAAACCCTAAACCCTAGCGATTACGTGCGTTTGCGGATCATGAAGCATGCCGCGCTTCTCCCGAAACTCCTGAGACCCGAGCCTGAAACGAGAGCTAATCAAAGCAATCCCTACATGGCGTCTACGAGGGTTTAGGGTTGTAAACGCTGTGTGAGCTTAAGGCTGATTATGCTTACCACTGCTAATCTCCTAGTCTATGACCGCAATATAACTCCAATATAACCCTATAATATAGTTTCCATTCTATTGTCCATTGTCCATATATATATATATATATCTTCCCTGTACAACCCCTATACAACCCCTATATAGAGGCAGTTTCCATTTTCTTTTCCATTCTCCCTTTTTGCATCTGGGCTCGAAACCCTAGATCCCAGTCCCCCATATAAACCCTAATCAAATACTAGTTTCCATTTGATTTTCCATTATCCCAATATAACCCCAGTCTACGACACCCAACACGACCGTGGCTCCAGCTCTGAACCGAGTCTTAACATGGGTGGTTGTCAAAATTATGGTCCCTTTTTGGGTACCTTGAATACTAGGTGCCGTATTGTAATAGGGATCCAAGAAGGGACCATTATTTTGACAACCACCCACATGCTGAGGCATAACATCCCCCTTGTCGGCCCCAGCCACGAGGTTTAGGGTTCAGGGTTTAGGGTAGAGGCACCCCAGGCTAATGTGAAATCCATGTTTACATCCACAGCATTTAATCCGTTGACATGTGCTGCAACTGAGTAGCAAGGTCGTTTCGTTCACGTTGTCTTCTTGTTCTTCTTCACCGTCAGTTGCTTCTTCACCCAGTGGTATAGTCTGAGTCGGATCAACGGCGCAGATCAAGGTGCCCACCGAGTCGCAGGCCCTTAGGGAAGGTGAGAACACAGCCGATCTACACAGACCTATGCTCAAGAGACCCACACAGTTGCACACAGCCTCTGAGGTTGGAGCCCATCCTGCATGATTGGCGGTGCTGCTTGCGGAGCTCCTGGATGAGTGAAGAAGCCTGCTGCTGCTGGCGGGCAGACGGAGATAGATCCTGACCTGGATCCCGATCTTGATACCGGTCTTGATCCTGGTCTCGATCCTGGCCTCGACCCTGCTCTCGAATCCGGTCGCGACTCGGGTCTTGACACGGGTTTCGATTCTGGCCGTGACCCCGGTCTGCCTCTAAGGTTGCCAAGCCAAGATACCAAGATTAAGAAGAAATTTTTGACGTCTCGATCAAACAGTTTCTGAATAAGTTGCCAAGTCGCTGCGTGCGTCGGACACACCAGCTGAAACGCCAAGGCTGACGTCTGGAACAATCGAGATGCTCTGCAGAAGCGGAAGAAGATCTCCCATGGCACGCGACAACGTCCCCACCTGGTCAAATGTCAGGCACAGCGCTGCCCAACCACAGGTCAGCCATCACGTTCTCAATGATATCAAACAAGCATTTCAACCCTATGTCTTTCTGCTCCTCCTGTCCTCATCCCAAACCTTCTCCTACTGCTACTCCTGCAACCGCCGCTGCCACCACCTCCTCTGTCTACAGCGGTTCAAAGTAATTAAAAGCAAAAGCCCCAGGAGAGGTTTGCAGTTGGCACCTCCAGCCGCAACTCCCGGAGCTCCGCTGCCTGATTCTCCACCATCTGCCGCATGACAGGACTCATTGTCATGTCTTGCGGGGTATCCCGCGATTCCCAATCCCGCGGGTCCCGCATCAGTTGCGGGTCCCTGGCAAACGTCTCCCGCAAGTCCCGCGTCTCCTTGGCAGCAGATGGCTTGCCTTGTGTCAAGCACTCTGAACCAAACTGAGATCCTGGCATTGATGGCTGACATGTTAGATCTGGACATCATTACCTCCAAACTTGCCAGCTCACTATCTAGCATAGCAAAGGGTGCATCAACATGGCACGGCAAGAGGAAGATGGGCCTTCTTCAGATGACAGATGAGCCCTATACAATATACAATCTATACAATGACTGTATTATTGCCATGTATCCCAAAGGAACTTGGGGCTTCAAGGGCCCCCCATGTATCGGAAACCCCTATTTCTCAAAGCCTGGGACCGAGATTTTCGCAATGAAGAGGTCATAGAGGCGGCTGAGGCACTTCTCCTGACCAGCTCCATAGGGTTGAGAGGTTCAGGGTTTTCAACACAGGGGTTTAGTCGTTCAGGGGGCTCGCGGTTTAGGACCCCGGTATAGATGAGAGTAGCCCTGTGTTGAGAACTGGGCGTTTCTCGGAATAGCGGTAATCTCAGGACCCTAGGATAATATGTGGATTATCAGATACGGAGACACAGCTGATTTTGAGACAAGCCCAAATCCCCTAAAAATCCAACTCTCTGGGCCCACTACAGGTAAGCGCTCCTCAGAGTTGGCGAGTCTTGGAACCGCGTACCTGGAAGACATGGGAAGACACGCAGCCATTACTGGCCACTGGTTTCAGGGGATCGGTGATACTACACAACAAGTGTCACATGCCTAATACTTCACTCTTCTACCAGAATCGACCGTAAAGCTGCGAGGATTAAGGGGCTTATGGCACGCAGAGAACCAAAGTGGACGGCAGCACCGCAGCAAGAACAAAATCGCCTGCTCTAACATACACCACCGCGCAGCTTATCAAACAGGGTCGGTTGAGGGGTTGAAAGCTGTCAATGCAACCTATGATTATGAGAGCGGTCAGGCACAAAGTCTTCATGCTCCATAGGCCCTGACCACTAGGGACTGTCGAGCAAAGGCCGTGATCCTACAATTCAGATAGTCCGCCTTAAGTAGATAGAATACGGGGTATATGGGAATCTTATTATAATCTACCCAAAGCCATATTCTATCTACTTAAGCGGGACGATAACATCAGCCGAGAACTTCCACCTCAGCCAACTTGGGCCCCACGCCTTAAGGCCCAGTAATCAACACTGAACTACTAATATATACCCCAATATATATATATATGTATATGCTCACCCCCCCCCAAGAACTACCTTTTGAGCTAAAAACTGCCTTAGTAATGGGGCGAGGGGATAAGGAAAGATCCCCAGCATTAGTATGAACATTGGCACTATTGTTAATACTCGTACTCATATCAATATGGTCATGGCTGATAGTATTAGTACCGAAATCAATATGAATATGAGAATTAGTAGTAGTAGTATACGTGTTAGTTCCAATATTCAAATTGTGATTTTCATACTAATATTAAGCTTGGCATCAGTACTGCTAGTACCAAGTATGAACAGAAGTACTAATTGTCTTCTTTGTATATGTAATATGATTAATTCCAGCATTCGTATCGCCATGAAGCTCTTATAATTAACATGACTATTAGTGTTAATACTATGTCAAGTATGAATGGTACTAGTAATTTCTGTAGTGTTGATATCAGCATTGGCAGTATGAATAACAAGTTTTGACAGCACTATTAACATGTATTATATCCGTAGTATTAATATGAGTATTATGATGTGTAGGATTCCTATGACTAACAGTATTGGTGGCATTAATATATTCATTCTGAATAATCTAGGTAATGTAATTTTCTAAATGAGTATCCATATTAGTATTAGTATTTCTGTTCGCAGTAATGTCAACTGCTAATACAAAATCATGCAAATGTGGGTCCTGTACTTCTATCAGTATTAGTATCAAATATCAATAAGTTCAGCAACATATGCAATCTTACCAGAAATCATGCGAGTACTTACTGAGATGAGTAAGTCATAATAATATTAATATGAATAGGAGTATTATTCATAGTATTGGTAATAGAACCAGTATTTGTATGAATAGTACAGTAATAGTATTCGTATGAAATTTAGTATGAATATCTATAGTATTCTCCGTGTTAGTACCAGATATTCATAATAACATTAAATTTCTATCTTCGAAACATATGGTAGCGAATATATGTATTGTAGCTAGTAGATGCATTAGAATGAACATGAATATCATTGTTAGTATATAGCAAACCCATTAGTATAGGAGTACTACTAATGCCAGCATG